AAAACTTGGGCATTCTGGCTCTAGATGAGTAATGTTTTCACCAACCAATGATGACTTTAAGACCTGTTTTCTCTCTATTTAGATCAATTATTTTTAATACTTAAACATTAGATTTAAAGAAATAAAATGAGGCCGGCCGAGTGGCTCAGCTGGTTAAGAGCTGACTTGGGATGCCAGCTCTGAGCAGCAGGGCCCCAGTTAGGATCCCACATTAGGGCCAGTGACACTGCCCTCTACAGCTAAGATGGTGAACAACAGCTCAACCTGGAGCTGGGCTGCGTGAGTCACAGGCGACTGCGTAGGCTGCAGCCCCTGCTGCAGTGGGTTACCGTAAGCTACAGTGAGTGGCCGGCAGCCAGCATGAGCGGCCATCCAGTGGCCAGCAACTGCCTCACCCGGGAAGAGCACAATGATAATACCAACATGAGACAGTGAAGCGACGTCCTCCACAACTAGACTGAAGAACAAAAGGACAGCAACTTGTCTGTTCCCCTTTTCCCAATCCCCCAACGCTGTTCCCCTCCCCCAACCCCCCAATAAAAAAAAATAAAATAAAAATTTTGGGTTATGCTTATTGTTGAAGGTATTAAATCTCAATAGCAATTAAGAGCACGAAAAATATTTAGATTTCATTTTATAACTTGCAAAAACAGCATAGAAATTGGATATAGAAATGTACAACAGCCAGACCATATATAAAACAGCCTGCAGCAACCTGTCCAGGAAACCCACCTGTTATCTCCAGTAAGCATCCCAGGAAGCCAGCCTGCTGTCAATCAGACTTGTAGGAAGTCAGTCTGCTAGCTCTACCAACTGATCCAGGAACAAACCATAACCCTGTAATAACTGGCTCTCAGTGGCCGGGGCCTGACTAATAACTGAGAGTTTGCCCAATTTTTGTCTGAACTTCCAAGCAGAGAAAGCCAATCACACAAGACGGCCCCTTTCTAGTTGGCTTTCCTACAGCTTCCCCAGCCAACGGCCTCCATCAGGGCTCATCCGGAGCCGTCCCTTTTTCCCACTACGAAGCCTTCCCACTCCTCTCCTGCCTGGGAGTCGGCCAAACGCAATTATGGTGGCTGGCAGTCATTGCTTGTTCTCATTCGGATGGTCTTTGTTTATTTCTGCACACAAAATAGAGATTCTTTTAAGAATCACAAAGAAAGAAAGGCCTCGACCATATTTCCATCTCACTAGGGATGCAAAGGCCCATATGAACTGGATTTCACTGGCTTGGTTGAGCATCTACTCTGTGTAAAACAGTTTTCTGGCTTCTGTAGGGGAGACAAAGATGAGGAAGGCATACCTTCTGAGTATCCAGAAATCAGAAAACCACTCTCATGACTATTACATGAGACAGAACTTGTCTTGTGTGTGATAAAGATGATGCAAGGTACTGTGGGAGTTGAGAGAGAGACAGTACCTCTAACTCAGAGGATCATTAGAAGCTGCAGGAAAGAAGTGTCAAATATGTAGAGTAAAAAATTAAAAATACAGGGCCGGCCGAGTGGCGCGATGGTTAAGAACGGGA